GGGGAAACAGGAAGATTGGGATAAAGGAGGTTGGATAGAGGAGTAGGGAAGCACATATCTTAGTTAAGGGAGCCACCTTAGTGTTGGCAAAAGACCCTTTTAAAAAGGAAAAAAGAGGGCTGGAGAGATGGTTCAGAGGTTAAGAGCATTGCCTGCTCTTCCAAAGGTCCTGAGTTCAATTCCCAGCAACCACATGGTGGCTCACAACCATCTGTAATGGGGTCTGGTGCCCTCTTCTGGTCTACACACACACAGACAGAATATTGTATATATAATAAATTAAAAAAATTAAAAAAAAAACAAATCTAATTTTTAAAAAAAGGAAAAAAGAAAAGAATTAATTTTAGGACAATCTTTTAGTTCTCAACCTGTGAGTCACGACATCTTTGGGGACAAATGGCCCTTTCGTGGGAGCTGCCTAAGACCATCCTGCATATCAGAATTTTACATTATGATTCATAACAGTAGCAAAATTACAATCATGAAGAAGCAATGAAAATAAACTTATGTTGGGGGACACCACAACATGAGAAACTGTATTAAAGGTCACAGCATTAGGAAGGTTAAGAACCATTGTCATAGATGAACATAGGTACAAATTTTCTCAACAAAAGACTTGCAAACTACTTAAAAAAGATCATCCAAAATGGCCAAGTCAACCTCATCCTAGAGGTTCAACATACATGTGGTTCAACATACATGAATCAATAAATGTAATCCATCACATAAATATACTCAAATACAGAAACCAAGTGAAAATCTCATTAGATGCAGAAAAGGCCTTTACAGAATTCAATATTCCCTCATGACAAAAATCCTGGAGAATCTAGAGACACAGGAAACACCTCAACACAATAAAGGCAATAGCAATATACAACAAGCACACACTCAAAATTTTACTAAATGGAGAAAAACTTGAACTACTTCCATTACAATTAAGAACAAGGCAAGAAGCCAGGCAGTAGTGGTGGTGCATGCACTTGGGAGGCAGAGGCAGGTGGATCTCTGTGAGTTCGAGGCCAGCGTGGTCTACAGAGCTAGTTCCAGGACAGGCACCAAAGCCACAGAGAAACCCTGACTTGAAGAAAAAAAGCAAGATAAGGATGTCCATTCTCTGCACTCTTGTTCAACTATAGGCCTTGAGGTCTTAGAGTATCCTTATTTGCAGATGGTAAGATTCTATACACTGAAAAACCCTGAAAATGCCACCAACAAAAACACCTGAAGCTGATGAACATATTCATGGAAGTAGCAGGACACAAAGTTAAAACAAAAAGCAGTAGCCTTCCTATATACCAACAATAAACATACAGAGGAAAAAGTAAGAAAACAATCACATTAACAATAGCCTTAAAATCACATTTTTAGTCCAACCAAAGAAGTGAAATTCAGGCTTTTACCATGAAAACTTTAAGACACTTAAAAAAAAGAGAATGAAGATACCAAAAGGCAGAAATACCACCCATGCTCAGGGACTAAGGGTGATAATGGAGACAGCTTTCCAGCCAGAGGTAATCCCCAGATTTGATGCCATACCAATCAATTCCAATACAATATCCATAGAAACTCAGAGAAGAACCTTAAAATTGATACAGAATCACAGAAGACCCCCAAAAAGTAAGTCAAAATAGTCCTGAAGAATAAAAATAATGCCAGACTTACCACCAAACCTGATTTTCAGTTACGCCACAGATACCTAATAATCAAAACAGCATGCCGCTAGCACATGAAAATTACTAATGAATGGGAAAAAAAAAAACAAGACCTAGCTATAAGTCCATGCACCTACAGCCACCTAACTTTTGACAAAGATGCTAAAACACAGTGTTGAGAAAAGACATCATCTTTAAACAATGGTGTTGGGAAAACTGGATATCTGTGTGTAGAAAAATGAAACTTGATCTTTTTTTTTCTCACCCTTCACACAAACCAATTCCAAATGGGTCAAAAAAAAATCTCAATATTAGACCTGAAACAGAAGAAAGAGTAGTGGGTCCACTTCAGGATGTGGCCCACGTAAGGACTTCCTGAGCAGGATTTTAGAAGTGCAGGAAATAAGACCAACAATCAACAAGCACGAATCCATGGAATTCAAAGGCCTCTGTGCTGCAAAGGAAACAATTGACTGGCAAGTCAACAGAATGGGGAAGATTCTTTGCCAGATATATATCTGATAGAATATTAGTGTCTAGTATACAGGGAACTCAAAAAAACTAACCAATAAAACAAACCAGTTTTTAATCTAGGCTAAAGAACTAAACAGTTTAGTTGGTGGGAGTGAAAATTTGAATTAGCTGCTGTGGGAATCAGTGTAGCAGTTCCTCGGAAGACTAGAAATAGATCTACTTTATGACCCAATGATACCATTCCTGGGCATAGACCCAAAAGACTATTTTCTGCTATAGAGACTCATGACCATCCATGTTTATAGTTACTCTATTCACAATAGCTAGGACATGGAAACAACATAGATACCCATGAATGGATGAATGACTATGAACTGTGGTACTATACACAATAGAATTTTATTCAGCCATAAGGAAAAAATGAAATCAAGGACTTTGCAGGTAAAAGGATGAAGCTGGAAAACATACTAAGTGAGCCAATGCAGATCGGAAAGAAATAGATTCTCACTAATATGTGGATCTTACTGTTGAAGCTTTCAGTGTGTGAGTACCTTTAAAACCCATAAACCCAGAAAGGAACCGTTGGTGGCGAGGGGAAAGAAAGATCTTAAGCAAGGGGGCAGTATAACGTAGGTAACATGAAGGAGAAAATGGAAATGCTAGGACGGAAGTTTTAAGTGGGAAGGAGAATGGGGAGGGGAGGGCGGATGAGGAGGTTGAGGAAAGGATAAGTAATTTCTAAGGATGTTGGAAAAAGCCACATGGAAACCTATGTTGTAAGCTTCCTAAATAGCTCTTGGCATAGCAAGGTATACCTGCGGGCACTGTGCTGGCTAATGGTGACTGTCAACTTCATTGCATCTGGAATCCACTAAAACTTAAGCTGCTGAACTTTCCTGTGTGGGATTTTTTATTCAGAATATTTGAAACAAGAGCCATTACCGATCTGGGCCAGACTTTCTGATGGCGGCCTACATGAAGGCATATGGAAGAAGGAAACTGCTGTTTGCCTGCTTGCCCTCATCTTGTTGTAAGTCCATCTGTCTGTTGTTAGAACATTCCTTCACCAATATTAGAACCACCGTCTTTGGGATTCCAGTGTAGACGGAAGACCAGCAGCTTTCC